GTTTCTTTTCTATTCGAGAAAATTAAATCTTAAATCATAGGAATATATTTTTCTCGGTTAAACTATATAAAATGGTTTCATTCGAGTAAACAATTATTCAAGCAATTATATTTTTCTTTAATTAACGCGATATAATCTCATTTCAAGATTTCCATGTTAAAACTAAATATATTTTCAAAACAAAAATGTCCTTTTTTTCTGTGAGCTTATACACAGAAAAAAATAAGTGTCAAATCAAAACTTATATACTTAAATTAACGCGTTCATTGTTTCGTATATGCGCAACAATTTATAATCTTCTGAGAAGAATTTAATAATTTTAAATTTCAACAATATTATCTTATTTTAATAGTGTAATTGTCACCTCAAGAATATATAATTATTTAATTTTATTTTAAGGAAATTATAATCTTTGATTTAAAAATGTTATTTTCTATCTAACATTGTTTCTTTTCTATTCAAGAAAATTAAATCTTAAATCATAGGAATATATTTTTCTCGGTTAAACTATATAAAATGGTTTCATTCGAGTAAACAATTATTCAAGCAATTATATTTTTCTTTAATTAACGCGATATAATCTCATTTCAAGATTTCCATGGTAAAACTAAATATGTTTTCAAAACAAGAATATCCTTTTTTTTCTGTGTATGACGTATGATTTCGCTGTCGTTGATCTTAAAACTCACTTATGGATCGAGGCCCACATGAGTCGCGGCGAACAATACTATCCTATAATCTAACAGAATATGAGAGATAACTGTAATTCGTAACTTTAATTACGACAGCTGTATATTTTGCGAACAATCCTGAGTCTTAATGAAGACGCAATTTTGTCTGGTGCATGAAATGCAAGTCTCATACTTTATCATTATAAGATGTGGAAGATTGAAAGTAATCATCTTGCGATGATGATAATTTTCGCTCGAGTAACAAGAGCGAAGATAAATTGTCTCATTTGACGACTTGTTTTATTTCGTAACATTTATTAAACATTTTAATATAAGTCTCATAAAGTATTTAACAGCGATCGACGGGATACTCGCATTTAATCGTGCAATTTGTAAGCCAATCGTCTCAGATTATTTAATTACTGTGTGTTAGTGTGAATTGTCACATTAATCAGGGTATGAATTGCGCTAACGAGGACTCGGCCCGATGGCGAAGGCAGATATCATCGAGGTTGCTTTCTGACTTATCGCATACCGAGCGTCATTATAAACGGTGGATCGAAAGTCGGTTACGATCGTGAGATGAAAGAACCCTGTCGTTCGGGATCTCGACGGAATTACTCGTTATTCCCGCGATTTCTCAGGCAGGCTCGTGCGAGTCCTTTTGCGCGCATCGCGCGTTCCGTGGATTTCCAGACACGTTCGTATGAGCAACGAGTTTTAACCGACCGATTAGCATACTTAATTAAACACGTCAGCCCCGTCGTTTTACGCGTTATACGTACCCGGTCGAGCACCCGATGCCGACCTATAGGGCTCCGCGTTCTCGCAGTAGCGTAACCATCGCAAGTCCGGAACTCTCGCTGCGACCGCGAGAGACCATAAGAGACCCGTCACGTATTTCCCGGTTGCGAAGCGCATGTGCATTCCTTCAAAGATAACGGCGGAGAAAAAAATCATAAGATGGAGAGAAGCCTCAGAGAGTTGGTTTATCTCTTACGGTTGTAAAACAAACCTCATTTAGCAATCGTACAGATGCGGCCGCTAGATGCTTCCGGAATTAAATTAAGCCCCGGATTATATCTAAAGCCATTGGTCGGGGGAATTTTTTTCTTATTCTTTGCATAATATTTCTTAAGTACATGTAAAAGAAATATGCGAAATAATTATTTGATCAAAGAGTTTCCATTTTATATATATATATATATATATATATATATATATATATAATTAAATTTTTATATATAATTATATTATATATATTTTATGTAATATATATTAAAATATATATAATTATAAAACATAATTATATAATATGTTTTATAACATATATATAATATATATGTTATATATATGTTATACACGTATAACACATGTTATAAATATACAATTTTTGTAATATTATATATTATATAAAATAATTTATATATTATATATTATTTTTTTTATACAAGCCACACAGAAAAAAGTAAGTGTCAAATCAAAACTTGTATACTTAAACTAACGCGTTCATTGTTTCGTATATATGCAACAATTTATAATCTTCTTAGAAAAATTTAATAATTTTAAATTTCAACAATATTATAGCCTTATTTTAATATTGTAATTGTCACCTCAAGAATATATAATTATTTGATTCTATTTTAAGAAAATTATAATCTTTGATTTAAAAATATTATTTTCTATCCAACATTATTTCTTTTTTATTCAAGAAAATTAAATCTTAAATCATAAAAAAATATTTTTTTCTGGATTGAACTATATAAAATGGCTTCATTCGAGTAAGCAATTATTCAAGCAATTATATTTTTCTTAAATTAATCCGATATAATCTCATTTCAATATTTCCATATTAAAACTAAATATATTTTCAAAACAAGAATGTCCTTTTTTCCGTGAGCTTATACACAGAAAAAAATAAGTGTCAAATCAAAACTTATATACTTAAACTAACGCGTTCATTGTTTCGTATATACGCAACAATTTATAATTTTCTTAGAAGAATTTAATAATTTTAAATTTCAACAATATTATAGTCTTATTTTGATATTGTAATTGTCACCTCAAGAATATATAATTATTAGATTCTACTTTAAGAAAATTATAATCTTCGATTTAAAAATATTATTTTCTATCCAACACTGTTTTTTTTTCCTCTCGCGAAAATTAAATCTTAAATCATAGGAATATATTTTTCTCGATTGAATTATATAAAATGTCTTCATTCGAGTAAGCAATTATTCAAGCAATTATATTTTTCTTAAATTAACCCGATATAATCTCATTTCAATATTTCCCTGTTAAAACTAAATATATTTTTAAAACAAGATTGTCCTTTTTTACTGTGCATACTTTCAAACTATTATCGAAATTTTTTCCGCTGACAGATTACATTTGTTTGACATTAAATTAATCGTTAATATCAGCGAATAAAAATTAATCGAAAAGTAAATCACCGACGCGATTACGCCACTGAACCACCAAAGCAAAAGGGCCATACAACGAACCGTAAATCGAGAGGAGTCAAGAGAGAAAGAGAGCGAGAGAGAGAGAGAAAGGAACAAGATCGGCTCCATGAGTCGACTTGTGCACGAGGATGCGAGCGTGCGAGAGATTAAAACGAAAAACTTCTCTCCGCGCTCGTCCCCCGCCCCCTTTTTTCCTCCCTGAAAGAGCGTCGCGCATTTAACCGAGGATGCCCGGGCTCCCTGCGGCGGGTTCAATGAGTGCCCCTCTACCGATGCCCTTCGCCGCGAGCGAAAGGGGAAGGTGCACACAGGTCGATGCGTGTGTGTGTGTGTGTGTACCATGTATGAATTTACGTACACTATACATGTATGAATTTCGGTGAACTTGGTTGCTCTCATTTACTTGTTGCTCCTCGTTCCGAGGAAGAGAACGGCTCCTTAATCACAGCCATACTCATGGACCGTAACTTCCGTGTGTCAGACTACGTAAATGGGAGATCTGATTTTCACACCTCGACACATTCCTGTCTTTAAATAGCTGCTTAAGCGCTACTGCAGCTTTATCTTAAATATGTTTTGCGCCCCCTCTTTCGGAAATTTCACCATTTTCTTCTTTTTTAATGTCCGATTATTGATAATTTTGAAAATATTATTTGATTAGTTATATATTTTTTAAATCTTGGAAATAATCGCGTAAAAAGTTCTCATCGAAATTATACATTAATAGATTGACATAAATTATATAAAAAAATTAAATTATTAAATTATAAGTATGCTTGAGATTTTAAAAGCTATTTAGATGCTCTTATAATTTATATCAAATCTGCTTGGAAATCTCTGAAAATTTCGAGTGTTAATATCGCTTTCAATTATTTTTCTTCTTTTTCACAGCTACGAGATTTATAATTTTATAAACAAATTTCGATTAAATTATAAAGTTTTATTAAACTAAGGGGAAGAATTTTCATGAGATTTCCTCGAAAATAGTGCAGTATATTTTCGCGATTTTATATTTTAATGTTGAAACTATTTCCTTATCGATGTTAATGTTCTGGACGGATTCTAACATAACTTGCGTCCATCGCTTAAGTTTTGTGGCAGGTCATTAACGAGGATTTTACTCCCAATCGTTCTCCACAGAATAACGAATGGATTCTGCTTGCGAATCTGGTTTGTTCGTTTGTTAATTATTCATGCGTGAAGCGAATGAATATCAAATTGTCATGGTAACAAGTACAAAAAACGATGATGGTGCAAATAGCTTTCTTGAGCATGAAAAAAGCAAAAATTTAGATGGACGTTTAGGGGAACGACCGTTATAAAGAAATTACAATTAATGAACATGCGCTTCTATCATCTTAATATTTGACGAGAGAAATAAAAAATATCGTGTATTTAAACAAAACATATGATGGAACATATTCATTAAAATTGCCTCCAAAATTGATTCGTCACAATTGTTTCATTCCTGCAAATTTTTTAATCCTATCACTGAGAAAAATATCCGGTGAAAAGGTAACGAACGGATACTAATCCGATTATTAACCGATCACTTTAATCGGAAAAAAAAGAAACCGATCAGATATCCAATCAGAAAATATCGATCGATCGGAAAGTTCAAAATTCGGAACTTTCCGATCAGACATCCGATTAAAGTGATCGGTTAATAATCGGATAATATCCGTTACCTTTTCACCGGACATTTTTCTCAGTGATAATTAAAACAAATAAATATAATACACTTATATTAATATATATATAATACACTTAAACCAACATGCCGTGCACTCGGCGCGTTCCACGACATATCGAATGTAATCTCACGCGACACTCTCGGTGCATCCTCAAAAGTGATACCGACCTTGAAGACAGCCCAGCAGAACGATCCCGAGGACGAGCGAAAGTTGACGTCGCATTCTTCCGCTAATATCTTCTGGCAATCACGATGTTACCGATGCGGCGACTTCACGAAAGGATATCCTCGCGCAGGAATCCCTGGTTCTCCAACGGGTGATTATTTTATTGTCGAGGCCCCCTCGTCACCGAGGTCGTACGAGAGTGGAGCAGAGCGAAGGAGAAAACGGAAGAGGAGAAGAAAAAGAAGAAGAAGAGGAAGAGGAAGACACCGCGAGAAGGTGGCTCGAGGAAGAGCGTGCGAGAAGGAGTCGGCGAGGCCAGGAGAGGAGGAAGCGAGACCTCTTCGACCTCTATCGTCCTTCGAGGTCCACGAACGACTGAGGCGCACGAAGCGACGTCGGGCCGGCTATAGCCTCCCCTTCCTACTTTCACGTGGCGTGCTCCCGTTTCCAGCGGAGGCGCGGAATGGAGAGCCTCTCCATGGGCCATTTACCATTACCATCATCGTCGACGGCGACCGTCAAAAGGAGAGGAGCTGACGCCCGAGAGCGAGAGGTGGGAAAGAAGCGTACCCCGCTGTCCTCCCCCCTGCCTCCCCTTTCGTTGGTCGCCTCTTGAAGGTAACTCGTCGTCGAGTGTCGGGAAGCGCCGGGGGACCGGCGTTTCTAGGCCAGCTCTTCCTCCGCCGACGTGAGACGTCCTTCTTCTGCTCCTTCGTCTCCTTCCGTCGTGCTTCCTCCGCTGCTTCTTCATCTTCCTCGAGCAATTTCCCCGGTACTTCGCGTCATCGCCTGCGAGAGGATCTCGTCCCACTGGCCGCGCGGTGGCTTGGAGGTCAAGGATACTTGGTCACGCAATTCTAGCACGGATCGAACGATAACGATGATCGGAGTACGATACAAGAGCGAGAATCAGGGAGGATAATGCTTCTTCTTTGGTACCCGATGCCCCGGCATTTTGTAACCGAGAAGACGAGAAGAAGAATGAGCCCGCGGAGATTTGCACTGCTGATCGCGCACAATATGTATGTGCAATACAGGTATCATACAGTCCTTTCGTCACGTCCGACTTTCGGGATTCGAAGCTAGATTAGACGCGCGCGTTGCACTGAGAAAAAAATCTGCTTGCATTCATTAGAAATCTGGTAGATTCAACCAGTATGTCTGTTGGAAAATGGACGAGCCAGAATTCTTGTAGGAATTACCAGGTGAATCTGATTAATTTCTTCCTGTTCAATTTACCAAATTTTCTAGTTAATAATACTAAACTCCCTAGCATCAAGTCGTCTAAAGTTTTTCCATCTAATCTCAAAAGTCTATTTAATATTCTAAATTCCAACATGATTATTGCATAAATTCAATCCAGATTACTGAATAAATTGTTTTAAATTCAGTTTGTTAGAAAACAGTGCACTGAGAAAAAAACCTGGTTGCATTAATTAGAAATCTGGCAGATTCAACCAGTATGTCTGTTGGAAAATGAACGAACCAGAATTCTTGTAGGAATTACCAGATGAATCTGATTAATTTCTTCCTGTTCAATTTACCAAATTTTCTAGTTAATAATACTAAACTCGCTAGCATCAAGTCGTCTAAAATTTTTTCCATCTAATCTCAAAAGTCTATTTAATATTCTAAATTCCAACATGATTATTGCATAAATTCAATCCAGATTACTGAATAATTATTTTAAATTCAGTTTGTTAGAAAACAGTGCACTGAGAAAAAAACCTGGTTGCATTAATTAGAATCTGGCAGATTCAACCAGTATGTCTGTTGGAAAATGGACGAGCCAGAATTCTTGTAGGAATTACCAGTGTCTATTAATTTTTCTGTTAATTTACCAAATTTTCTAGTTAATAATATTCTAGCATAAGTCTTAAATTTTTTCATCTAATTCAAAGTTTTTATTTTAAATTCCAATGATTATTGTATTCATCCAGATTATGAATAAATTGTTTTATTCAGTTTGTAGAAACAGTTGAGACTTTGCTTAATTAGAAATCTGGAATTCAACCAGTATGTCTGTTGGAAATGACGACCAGATTCTTGTAGGAATTAACCCGTTCATTGTTTCGTATATACGCAACAATTTTTAATATTCTTAGAAGAATTTAATAATTTTAAATTTCAACAATATTATCGTCTTATTTTAATATTGTAATTGTCACATCAAGAATATAAAATTATTTAATTCTACTTTAAGAAAATTATATTTTTTAATTTAAAAATGTTATTTTCTACACTGAGAAAAAATTTGGTTGCATTAATTAGAATTCTGGTGGATTCGATCAGTATGTCTGTTCGAAAATGGACGAACCAGATTTTTTGTAGGAATTACTAGATGAATCTGATTAATTTCTTTCTGTTCAATTTACCAAATTTTCTAGTTAATAATACTAAACTCGCTAGCATCAAGTCGTCTAAAATGTTTTCCATCTAATCTCAAAAGTCTGTTTAATATTCTGAACTCCAACAAAATTATTGGATAAATTCAATCCAGATTATTGAATAAATTATTTTAATTTCAATTTGTTAGAAATTAAAATAATAAGCAGTGATGCAAGAAGAAGATGCAGCTCAAAGACACACAATCAGAGAGCTAGCGTCCTCTTTCTGGCACTACTGCTCGTAAGAGAAAAAAAAATATATTTTGGATTTAACGTTAATACTAGTTCTTTATATACATTCCATGGAAAATATTTAATACGAGTAAAGTTAAGAGTGGCTCGCCGCTCACACAGAGAAAAATGTATACTGTATTCAAGTAAATATATCATAAGTTCACCACAAGCATTAAATTTAATTGAATATATTCTGCATTTTAGTAAGTGCAGTATTTTAGTCAAGAATATTAAATTTAAACAAAAATTTGGTTTGCTTACTACAAGAGTTGACGTAAAGTAAGTTTGATTTTTCTTTGATACATCTTTACAATATTCTTGAAGAGAAAATAAATTCTTCTTTTGAGTACATGATATGATAATGAAATTTTCTAACACTTGTGATGAGTATATTTTAAGACTATTATCAAGAATATATTCTTGTTGAAGAAAATTATTACTTAAAAAAAGAAAAATAAACTGAGTAATCGCTTTTCTTAGCAGTAGAATGATATTTTTCTCTGTGCAGCGGCAAGCAAAGAAGTTAATGCAACAAGAAATTATATAGATTCAATCAGAAAATACTAAATACCAAATCCTTATAGTAAATCTATTAAGTTCTAAAAGTTATTAAGAATGATATGATTCTTATTCATGATTACAATCTGTGGTTGCAGCTTGGCTAAGGCCCAAAATAAGAGTATCGAAGCTATACGATTGTTGCCCGTACAACAACGAAATTATATTACGATTGCCGAGATTCAATCAGAAAATACTAAATACCAAATCCTTATAGTAAAATCTATTAAACGTTCTAAAAGTTATAAAAAATCAAGTCTTATCATGATAACTAGAAATTCTTGTTTGATTTAACCAAAATGACTTCAACCATATACGTCTTGTTGGTACAATCAAACGATTTTTCTCAGTGCGGATGTTGAGGCTCTGATAAGAAGCGCCGATGATAAGTCAGCAGAGTAGGTCGAGCGAAACCCGAACAATCACGGAAACCGAGGAGTCCACCGATTAATTAATAAAAAATATTAAAAATGCATCGCCGCGTATATTCGCCTCCGAAGAGAGGCCAAGAGAGGAAAGATGAGGAGCGACGTGATCCGCGCGCGCGTGCGATTAACGACTACACTTTCTAATTGAAGTGTCGTAAGAAATCGAGGGGATGTTCTTGCTAACGATAGCGACATTAGTCTCCTTTCCTACTTACAATTCTAAGCGGTTGTTTCGCAGGCGTGACGAATCTGCGCCGCATACCTGACACCGCAGCTGTGCGATTGACATGTGGCTCTGTCTTTTTGCGGTCTCCTTCCCGGGAGAAATTCCGGAAGGAATTAAAGCAAAAGTAGTCTGTTTTGCACGTTATGCACGTGGCTAGAAAATTAATAGAGTGCGTTATTAAGAGAATGGCATCGGAAGAAACGAAAATGAAGACAAATCTAATCCTTATCCCTTTGCGCGTGATTAAAATCATTTTATTTTAATTTCAACAAATAAATTTATTTCAAATAAATTTATTTTATCTATCATTAGTATGTTATAGTCATTAATAACGCATCGACAGCTTTACAGCTTGAAATCCGCGAATGACGAAGCGCGACGAGCGCGTACACGACGAAATCGCCCTCGTTGCGCCCATTAAGATGGCCTAATACGGTCGAAGGAGGGCTAAAAACGCGCTCGTCGATCGTGCTGCACGCGAAAGTGTGGCAGTGACCCGCGAGAAGGAGTTTCGCGTGCTGCAACAGCTGCAACCGAAAGATCCCGGAGCGTCTCGAGGTCCGCGAGCGATCGTTTATCAACATCGGCTGTCAACGCTATTGAATCGCGAGATACATGCACACGTGCGTCTCTCCTCGCGTATTCTCCGGTCTTTACCATTAACCCACTTGCGCCTTTAACGTCGATACTCGGTCTAAGGTATCCGTACGACCGATTTTTCGCGCTTTGTTCGCCAGCAGAATCGAGAACGCGGACGGATATCAACAGTAGCAACAACGGCGAATATATCTCGCACTTTAGAAAAATCGTTTGATTGTACCAACAAGACGTATATGATTGAAGGCATTTAGGTTAAATCAAACAAGAATTTCTAGTTGTCATGATAAGACTCGATTTTTTAAAACTAGAACGTTTGATAGATTTTACTATAAGGATTTGGTTAGTATTTTCTGTTTGAATTCTGTTCTATAAAATTTCTTGTTCCATTAATTTCTTTGCTTGCTTCTTAACGTAACTCGTATTAATATTTACCATGAAATGTATATAAAGAACTAGTATTAACGTTAAATCCAAAGTATATTTTTTTTCTCTTACGAGCAGGAGTGCCAGAAAGAGGACGCTAGCTGTCTGATTGTGTGTTTGAGCTGCATCTTCTTCTTGCATCACTGTTTATAAGTTTAATTTCTAACAAACTGAATTTAAAATAATTTATTCAATAATCTGGATTGAATTTATCCAATAATCTTGTTGGAATTCAGAATATTAAACAGACTTTTGAGATTAGATGGAAAAAATTTTAGATGACTCGATGCTGGTAAGTTTAGTATTAACCAGAAAATTTGGTAAATTTAACAGGAAGAAATTAATTAGATTCATCTGGTAATTCCTAGAAGAATTCTGATTCGTCCATTTTCCAACAGACATACTAGTTGAATCTATCAGAATTCTAATTAATGCAACCAGATTTTTTTCTCAGTGCACTGTTTATCAGTTTAATTTCTAACAATCTGAATTTAAAATAATTTATTCAATAATCTGGATTAAATTTATCCAATAATCTTGTTGGAATTTAGAATATTA